CTAAATGTATAATCTCATTTTGTATTTTTCTGGTATTGCAGGATAAACAGTATTACAATTGCAGTTTAGTGGAGAAATTAATCACAATACTAAGTCTGAGTTGTCAATATAACAGTAAAGTGAGGCCAGTTACATTACAGATGTCAATTTTATTATTGAAACAATTAGTGTATTCAGATGGTCAATGTTTTCTACAAGATATGCATTTAGCTTGTATTGAGGTAAGCATGACTCACCTGGTTTTAGTATGATATGACCAAGTGTTGCTGTCAATTATTATACTTCTCGTTGCAAATACAATAGAAATTACAGACTGTAAAAACCTGTACGGTTGTGTTCAAAAAAGTTGTGAACACATTTGAAAGTGTTACAGTCATCTTGCGTTTATGAATATTTTCAATTAATTGACATCATATTTGGTGTGATGATTCTTATTGGCTTGCACATGATCCTAATCAAGATGGCCGTTTGGGGGCCATTTTGTTCACATTAGATAATGTGTGGATGTTCAGCAATGACACACAAGTTGACTAGAATCCTGGATGGTATACATGATCTATTGTTTATTTAACAGGGTTCAAGGGAGGAGAGCAAATTAATGCTGAGGAATTTCTTTAAGGGGGATGAATTGTTTCTAGACATGTTTGAAGACGAGTACAAGAACCTGCAGGTGAGTTCACTTTGTTTTTACTTATGTGCCCATTAACACATTGAAGGGGACAAATTTTACTCTATATGTTAAACACAGTATACGATTTTATGGGTGTCGTTAAACTGGATAATAGCAATATTACTGGCATGTCAGTCAAATTACTGTATGTGTACCTCTACAGCGTGTTTACACAGAATTCAACTTCAAATCTTTTCTCATTTAGAATAATATTGCTCATCTGACAATGTGTGCCTGTTGTTTTCTGCTCTAAATGTGTTTCACTCAACATTTTAGGCTTACAAAATAATATCAAATCATAATCAACTATTTCCCTCAGTATATCCCTCCCTAAGGTGCATGTATTAAAGTATTGAAAGCACTTTTTCTGTTTGAATATCTACTTGGTGGCTGGCAACAGCTAAATGAAGTTTTGGGATGAGCTGTTGTCACATTATTGGTCAGAATGGTATTCAAATGATACACATGCATTTCTGTGAAAGGGTGAATAATCGGGCAAGTGTTATATTGTTGGCTGGAAGTTGTGGACCCACCAATCAAGTGAATAGACCTCTTACATGATTACGGTACCAGCTCATTGTGTACTCAGCCTTGCATTGAAATATCACAACCATGCACCGATTTAAAAATTCTTCTTCATTGTAAAAATTAATTTGTTCTTTGTTTTCCAGTTGAGACCTTTAAATGTTGAGTTCCTAACCATGGATGCCTCTATTCTACTGGCACCAACTGGTACACCGTTAACTGGAATTGAATTTGCTAAAAGACTGCCCTCTGGAGATCTAGAACGAACAAGACGGGTAAGTGATGAAGTGATGTCTTTAAAGATGTCAGGAATGGAGTAGAATAATTATCACTTCATTTTCAGGGATATTTAACTATATATAATAAGAGTATAAAATTATTAATTTGTTTTTGTTACCTTACATTATTTTACATCGTAAAATCTGTATTAGAAGCCGCATCCCTAATAGAAGTCGCACCCATTTTTTTTGAATAACCTCCCCTCTGTTGCATTGTACCATTTTAATAGAAGCCGGGGTTTCTAATACAGATTTTACAGTAATTGTTTTTTTCAGACACAAGTCATTGACTTTTGGACTTTTTTTATAAAATAAAATGTATGTAATAATATTTTAGATGAAAAATGCAGAATTTCTCACTAAATCTTCACAGCCATGTGTACCCATCAAATAACTACATGTACATATTTACCAGAACAAAATTTATGACAAAACAATTTTCCTACGAGAAACAACAATAAATGACTGAACATTTTCAATGAGTTTTATCTAAAACATTTTTAATATGAGAATCAATAGTAAATGGCTCAGAAATCAACATTATCAATAAGTTTTACCTGGATTCTCATAATAACTGCATAAATTAAAGCTATATTGTAAAAGTCAAGAAAATCAAGCTATAAATTTATTGGTAGCCAACTATATAAAAAACAGGACAGTTGTCATGTTTGAAGTGATACAACAAATATTACATTGTTTGCAACATAAAATTGTGAGATTATACAACCCAGAGTAATAATTCATCTATTTTGATATCAACTACCAGCATAGTTGAACTGCTGTAGAAATAATCTATTCAGGTAAATAGTGTTTTGGCTGATTTGCATAAAAAGAGAATGAGTTGACTGTCGTTTTATTCAAAATTGTTTAGTATGGGGCCTTCTACTCAATAATCTTCTAGAAAGCCTGTGTATTAGTCCAATACATGTTTGACACAGGGATTATGTTTTGGGTTACATCCATCCTGCATCATTTCTCGACATGTCTTGCGTTCTTGGTCAAAATTTCTACAAAGATAATGAAAAACATATGTCGATTGGTTTATAACTTATATGCACACCAAATATAAGCACCAAAAATCAAAATTTGAACATGTCATCAACCATTTTCATTCAAACGTGGTGTTACTGATCGTTTTTTTGTGTGACTTAATTGATTTAAATTTGATGAGTACTACCCAAATTTAGAAAGGCATGGTGTCAGATTTGATGTCTATCTAGGTTTCATCCATGTTTTAGTGCACTGAATGCATAACCAGTCCTACTTGTGGACTTGTAGGTGAATTCCATATTAATGAGTACCGTAAAATCTGTATTAGAAGCCGCATCTCTGATAGAAGTCACACCCTTTCCTTTTGAACAATTGAGAACCAAAAATTCATCATTTCGCATATGTGTAGATCTAATAGAAGCTGCATCCCCTCTGTTGCATTGTACCATTTTAATAGAAGCCGCAGCTTCTAATACAGATTTTATAGTATTGTTTTTCAAACATATCCACTTTAATTAGTTAATTAAAATATATGTATTCCTGTCATCCATCATAGTCACCTTTTCTGCATCAGGAGAAACATCGGTGGTAGTTTAGTTTGTTGAAAAGTTTTGCTGAAAAAGGCTTTTCTAAATACTGTAAACAGTTTAATTTTTGCTCCTCAGAATTTACGCGATGAAAAAGAAATTTCACAAAAGTCGCTGACATTTTGTGTTCTAAGACCCCAGTAAAATTTTTCGGCACTTTTTTTCTTATATTTTTTTCAATATTTCTGGAAATGTACTCTAATTTTGGAGACAACAAACAAAATTGGAGTCAGTTTTTATTTTTTACTCAAAAATATTTGGCTATTTTTGTCCCAATCTTCTGAAGGAAAGTGCAGACTATAAACAAGACTATTTTGTGATGAAAAGAGGGAACTGGTGGTGAAAAGGATAAAGTATGTCATTATGGTTAATGTACCATATTGTTATACTATCTACATATATCAAATAATTTCACTTTTTTTGTATATTTCAGGCTATTAGAGTATTTTTCATGTTACGAGATCTGTCCTTGACCCTGTGTGGAGAAACGGAAACAAGGTTACCATTAACAAGGCAGGAAGAGCTGGTTAGCGTAACCGATAAATTAGATTTAAGTAAGTTGATCAAAAACTGGCCATCATGTGACTGAAGAATTTCATAGTTGTAACAGCAGTATCTTGGAAGTACATGATATTGTTTTACTATTTTGAGCATATTGTAGAACGAGAAATATTCATAGGTTTAATTTGAGTGGATTCATTATTTCAGTGGTGTTCACTCGCTTCAATTTTTTTTTTAAAGAAAACAATTCATCGCATATTCTATCCACTGCATGGGTGTATTCAGCTATTAGCGGAATAAACAGAGAATATCTATGGTAATGAAGGCAACCAATGATAGCGAAGTTCCTAAAATAACGTAGTAAATTTCATATTTGACATGTATTTGACATATACAACATGTGTAAAATATATTGTGTGTTCACGCAGAATTTGAATACGCACTGCATATTGACTGGCCCTTTAAAATGAGGAGTCGCAGTGACTTTTGCAATTTTGTCTTCACAGACTCTCTTCATTCATCATATCGCA